TTTGTGCATAAAACGCCTGGATGCCCCAGTAATTACCTCTTGATTTACTGATGTCTTTTTTTTTTTTTTTTTTTTTTTTTTTTTTAAGAGTGGTGCCATGGCTCAAAGCAACTTGATTTGGTCTAACAAGTACAACCTTAGACTAAGAAATAGTCATTTTCTATGACAGGTAAAAGTCCATTGAAAGTGAATTTTTTTTTTTTTAATGGTGTCTGAAAGCACTACGAATGTAGTTGCTCTTTTTACAACAATCTGTTCGTCAGAAAGCCAGCATTCAGGGACTCCCTACATTTTAGCTTCCTGGCCCCATTCAGGTTGAATGCAATGGTAAAATTGCCCCTGAGCACTGAATCAATGACTGATTTGGGCTCACAATTTATTTCCTGCCTAGCCGGGACCCGAGCCTATGCTCAACCTCCGATCTCGCTCAACAGAGAGGCAACTGCGTCAGAATCTGACTCTCATGTCTGTTCCGCCTAACCCTGTAGGAAACGGGAGAAAACCTCAAAGCACTTCTTTCTTCTGCTATCAAGCAGCCGAAATGGTACTTTTCTCTGTACTTCTATCACTCAAAAAACGAAATCCAACGAACTTTCACAGCCACCCCCAGCCCCCGTTAAGCAGTCTGGTGCTAGGGACACACACAATGGAGTCAAGACTCTACCCTCCAACAGCCCAATCAGCAGAAAATTAAGCATCACCAAAATGCTAAACTACACAAATAGATTCAAGCGTGCGGAAGAGAAAAGTTTGATATGGGAGGAGGGTTAAGTGTAAACATTTTGAGTATTTAAGCCAAATATTCAACAGTTTCCATTTTAAACATTCCAAAGTCTATCACTGCACACAACGCTAAATGCCAGTTCATTTATCACTTAAATTTATTAAGCGACAAAATGCAAACAAGATTTGAGAAGAAAAAAAAAAAAACCCAAGACTGATGCGCAATTAAAATAGCGAAAGCATTTCAACCTTCGAAACTGTGCACATCAAAATATCTGTTCAATATCGGAATGTCTCAATTTCAATTTGGACGGCCTCCAACACCACACTAAACAGAAAAATCTGACGTCCACCGCATAGTCACAAAAAGCCACAGAAATCTAAGCGGGCGGAAGAAAACCTACAGGTGTTACAAAGTTTAACATCGCTTTTAAATTCCCTTAGATGCTAAACTGAGGATAAAAAGACTACGGTCCCAAGAATACAAAATTTTACCTTTTAGGACCACTATCGAATCTGAACGGGATTTTTGGAATATTCTACAAACGTGTGCTTAACTACTGTTTGGGTCCTAATCCGACCCAACAACCAAGCCCTTCTTCCTTGTTTACACCTAACGCTGGTCTTGAAGACATCTCGAACTCACACCCGACTTCGGCCCCACGCAGGCAGCTACTTCACAGAAAATAAGGAACTCAAGCTCCGAGCTGCACCGAGCGCCGACCGCAGGAGGTCGTATTCCCATGCTAATTGCACAGCCCCATTACTAGCATCAGAGGATCACCGCGGTTTAAAGCGGGGTGGGCTCGTAGGAAAGTGAAAACCCTAAGTGTGGATCGGTTTCACGCCCAGCATTTGCACTGCAGGAAACGACCCGGTCACCGGGAAGGCTCACAGCCGCGGCGGGAGCGCCGACTACGTTTCACTTTCTTTCCCTTCTTACGCGGCCCTCCCGGGGCCCCTCTCCGAGGCGAGCGCCCTTTGCTCCCCGCGGCGGACGCGGTTCTG